TTTTTTTTTTTTATTTTCTTATGAAAAGCGAAACAGTTTGGTTCTTTCATTAACAATTTCGTATTTTCATCGACTTTTCATCGATCCAACATTCTTAGATTTTTTTTGAGAATTTTTAGCTTGGAAGTCTGGTTTTTTTTCCTTCTCGCTTTTCATTTTGAAGATCCAAGTTTCTTTTGTTTTAGTAAGTTTCCTGGCATATTTATGCGCTTTTTTGCAGCTACGCAATGCAGAAACGCATATTGACGAGGATTGACTCTGCCCGTGTGTGTGTGTGTCTGTGCGTCTGTGTGCCTGTGTGTCCGTGTGTGCGTCTGTCAAGGTTTTTCATCTCAAGACCTACAAAAGCTACGGGGTTGAAACTTTGGGAACTTAATCTGCATGCGCGTATGGGCCTCATTACCCGCGTGGTACCCACGTGAGGACCCGCCAAATTTTCTTTCGGGTAAGATGATAACTCGAGTACTTGAAAAGCTAAGGGATTGTAATTTAACAGATATTCCCGGTCCATTTAAGTCTAATTCAGCTCAAGCCCAGCCCTCGGGTGTGCGTGATAACCACGCACGGGTTCACCAAAGTTTTTTTTCGGGTAAGTTGCCAACTCGAGAACCTGAAAAGCTAGAAGACTGTAGTTTTAGGTGGATGTTCTCCGTCCAACTAAGTCTCAATGAGCTCATACCCAGACATCGGATGTGCGTGTTACCCACGTGCGGGTCCGTGAAAGTTTTCTTCCACTATGTTACTAACTCAGGAGCCAGGAATGCTAGGAAGCTGAAATTTCAAGGGTGTATTTCCTGGCATTTCTGGCGGCCAGTCTTAATTTGTTTAGCTAGAAGCATTTGCTGAAAAAACCGGTGCCGGTAGCGATTAAAACTGCGGGGAATTATGCAAAAAACGCATCTTCGCACGGGCAGCCCATGCATTGGTCAATTATTTTAATTTTTCATGTTTTCTGCAAATTTTGTGATTGTGAATGTCTCTGTTTCTGGTGATCTTTCAGGACGATTGGTCACTTGGGGTTGCTGTGGGTAGCGGTGCACAGTTAATCACGGGAATTATCAATAATCCGATTGTTCTAATGTGTGAACAGGTTTGTTGCTTCTCATCTCTTTGATATTTGGCCCGGTACTTTTCTGTTAGCGCACAAATTGGCACACAGCTGGCAAGTTTCCTTCGTGCTTTGTCTAATGTTCGTCCAGTCCTCCTGGCATTCTCATCTCTGCTTTCTTTTTTCGTTCTCCCGAAAGAAATGCTAAGATATTATGCTTCTTTGTTTCAGTGCTGTGATAATTGCTTCCCTAAGGCTGGCATAAAGAGGTGAAATGTGATGATTGTTGTTGTAATTTACGATAATACAGCTCCGAATTTTAGGTAGGTGTTGTGTATCGTGCATTGACGGACGAATGTCCGTTGCTGGACGCTGGAACAGGGAAGCGCGCATCGGCGATCTGTGATCGGGCGGTGGACGAGCATTTCAATTGCTTGTTAGACTGCCTAGCCGAGTGGAAGCATAATGTCAAAATTGGCGATAAAAGTCTTTATGGTAATTTGCTTTTGCACTCTTTTTCCGTAGCTACCACTGATGCACGAAATATTTTCCTACTTTTAGCACGGCAGTCATCTCTGAAATCGATTGTGCCTGATGATATATTGTTGACTCTTATGCGTTTTTGCATCTTATGCAAATTTAAAAACGCGTATTTTCGAAAGTCTGTTTTTGTGTTCAAAGGCGATTGAACTTTGTCCACTTTCAACTCAGCAGCGGAAAAGCTTGTAAAGTGAAATTTCGGGAACATATTTACAAAATTAATGTATATGCGCCTAGATCTCTGACGCCTAAAGAAACATGTAAATTTTCATAATTTTTTTGGCGATTTTGAGGACCGGTAGGCGTCTGAAACTTTGCAGAGATCTTCTTTGTCCATGTATGAGTCTTCAACTCAGCCCCAACATCCTGTTTATTATCTAGCGTGCATTTTTCAATGAGCGACCGATCACCGGCAAAATTTACTACATTCATATATGCTAAAAGTTAAGATTTCACACAGCACCACGCTCCCTTTCAATCAATACTCTTTTCTCATGCATGCAAAAAAAACTAAAACACGGCCAGTATAAGACCTCACCTTAAACTGTAATATAGCAACCATCCATACTTCAAGCGTGGCACAAAAACGCATAATCTCACCGGCAAGCGTAGTACGTTGGCACCTGGCTTTTTTTCATTCTTATTAGCTGTACTGTTCGAATATTTCAGATCATTTAATGACCCTGCACAATGCATTCGTGAAAGCGACGACATTCAAATGGACGCAGGTAAGCTTTTTTCAGCTATGTGTGCATTTCTACTGGACTGTTTTTCTGAGTCAGCTTTCGTTCTCCTTACTCAGCGAGGTGCGCAAAGAATTGATCGTGGCGTAGTTTGTGAGGACAGAGGGCGGAAGTACAAAGGAATACTTCAAAAACTGGCCGAGTGCTCGTCCATATCAGTGTCCTCCTTGAAATTTCCTGGATGCGTTAAGGAATCATGAAGTATATTTAGGAATTTTTCCCAGAAGGGTTCTGTGGAAGAACTTTTAAAATTTTTATAAAGAATTTCAGGAGGACGAGAGAATGTTCCAGTGGCAAATAGGGAACGTCGAATTCTCCTGTGGTTCGAAGCTGAATGATGTTTCGGCTCGGAATTGGGATCAAAATGAAGCGGTGGCGCAGTTCGCGGGTGCTCACGCTTTTCTCACCGACGGTACTTCCGAACTGATACGCCGTCTTGCCGAGGGTACTGATATTCGATGCAATCATGAGGTTTGGCGTTAGCTTTTTCAGTATTGGCTGTCTGGAATTGATGCATAAAAGTTAGTAATGGAGTTACCGGGGCGTTCTTCTCTTCCTTGAACACGCCTCGCATGTATTTCCTGGATAATTCTAGTCTTTTTCCATGATTTATT